CATCAAGGAGTGCTCCACCAGGCCCAAACATGCTGGCGCACGTAACTGAAATCCCACATTGTACAGGTGGCTCCAAACCAGGCATGTGTGGTTTCCAGTCCTTCCCTCTCCTCCCACCCAGTCCAGCTGGATGGAGTGCAAAGCCAAAGCACCTGGACTGCAAGATCTGAACTCCCTTTGTCTCTGCACACTTCTACATATACCAGCTGGAAGGACCAAGGCCTTCCCTTACAATCGGCTTTTCTTATAATGAGGCGAATTACAGCATCAGGGACAAAGACTACACTTCCTTACACACCCCGAGTGCAGAAACCCATAGGTGTTGGTGATCTCCCAGCATAAACATTCTTCTGTTCTTTCCCTCATCAATATTTTCTTTCATCAGAATGTCTGGGGAAGCCAAAATCTTGCACACACCAGTTCCTGTGGCATGGCTTTTCAACAACTTTCTGTAACAATGCCCTACCAAAGCTTTAGGTCTTCTTTCTTCTTGTCCTGGATGTCTAGAACACAGAAAGACTCCTCTCCAACTTCCCCTTTTGCAGATCATTTCTGCCACTGTGGACAATAACAAGCTGCTTCTCGACATCGATAACAGCAAGATGACTGCTGATGACTTCCGAATGAAGTGAGTACCTCTCTGTGAACCTTACATGTCTTTCAAATCCAGCTCATAGTCTCAGGAGACAAGGCAGCACTGCCTTGAGTGGTGTTACTGAGTCTTCTTGTTTTATTGGGATACCGATCGTGGAAAGATGTGTGCTATTGACTGCCATCATCTCATTTCCTCATTTGCGTGACTCTTGTTTGTGTTAAAGGTATGAGAATGAGCTGGTCATCCGTCAGACTGTGGAGGCTGATATTAATGGCTTGAGAAATCTCCTGGATGACCTGACTCTGGTTAGATCTTCACTGGAATCCGAGCTAGAGTCCCTGAAGGATGAGCTGATTGCTCTTAAGAGAAACCATGAGGAGGTACGATCCAATGATACGTAGTGTGTCCAAGACATAGTCCTTTGTCTCTTCATGGTTCCCAAAGTTACATATCAAGTCATTTCAGCCTTATGTCATGTGACTGTCATTCCTTTGTACCTTGATACTGCTTTGTCCACTGTCCCCAACACAAGAAATGACCTGTGCTCTTTTGTTTCTCTCTGCAGGAAATGAGACAGCTGCAGTCTCAGAC